CATGAATGGAGATTAAGCGTTCATAGGTTGACACCAAATGGTTGGTATAAGTCAGCCGCAGCTGCTTCTACTGATGATTGACAAAATAAACAATAATATCAAGAATTTTAATGAGGCTATCTGCAACCTATATTTCGGCTTCAAAGAGCAAGTACACACATCAAATTCATGATGTAACAATCTCAAAATTGCTTCATTGAGTTGCGAAGCCAACACTCTATTCAACAGTCAACCATTCAAGTCATGCATAATTTTCAGGGGCATACAATGATATCCCGGTTAAAATAAGATTGCATAAAACTGCGAGATAATTCAAATTATTGGATATGCAAGTAAACATGGAAAATGTAGAAGTCGAGGAAATATATAACTCCTTGAGTACTCACGCTAACTTCTCCCTGATGATTGGTTTCACTGGCTTCTTTTAGTTTTGCTGAGGTATCCTTCACCAACTGTCCAATATGTAGCCTAGTCTTATGCCTGCCAGCGAAAACCTAAATTAGAGAAGATTTATCTAGATAGTTAGGAAAAAGATAAAGCAGAGACAGCTAAGATCTTTTGGCAGAGATGAGATCAATCTTCCAAAGAAGGGTTTTTGTAAAGGATTTCTAGTTATGGTATAATTACAAGTAAATTTTTGTGCAAGACTGATGCTGGGGGCTCTCCCGACATTTGATTTGATTAACGAACTAGTCAAGTTCCATTGGTGGATCAAGATGCTACACATGAAGTAAGCTAACATACCCTATAATAGATTCAGCCACATAACCATGCAGCACAAAAATTGACCTAGAAAGGAGGCAGAAAAAATTGGATGGACATCATAGAAAGAACCATGTTGTATGAAAAATAAATGGATACTTACACGAGTTACAAGGGAGAAGATCAGGTTGCACAAGAAATCGCAGAAAGAAAAGCCACCTTTCCCCTCCTCTATCTTCTTTCCTAGGTTGCTGGTCCATTAAAATATTAATATTTTAGTACTAAATTAACTAAGGATGCCACCCAACACCTATTAGATAATATTTTATTAAAATCGTTATTGATAATATGTTGTAGATGGTTTAAAAAGATTGTAAATATGTAGGAAAAGATATAGCTTATTTTTAGGATAGTTACGATTTTCATGTAATTAACTAAACCTCCAAATTTTCTGAATTCTCTCTAGAAACTCTCTTCTTAAGTCCTACCTCTAACCAAAAACTACAATGAGCAGAAGCTATTAATTCAGCAAGAAAAAAAAAAAGAAGAAGTAACTAAAAAGGAAGAAAGTTAGCAAAGCAAGAAGAAGGGAATCCATCATCCGCTAATAAAAGATTTCTTTGTAAAATTATCCAATTGTTTCCATACTCTCTCTCTTAATCCCCTTCAATCTTTCACCAAAGCCCTCCCTTAATTCTTACCTTGACCAAGCCTGCATGGGCAAGCCACCCTTTAATACACAAGACTCCACTCTGAACTTTAAACTCATTGCCAAAATGGGTAAAGAAGGCTTATCATTTGCCCACTCACAGCTTGAGAACAACAACTAAAGATATCAACATAATTAAGGGTCTGTTTGGGGGGACTTATTCACGGATTGTGCGTTTTGAAAACTCCGCAGAGGCGTCCTGGCTGCATGAGTAAAACACCTTTTTTAGTTAATATAGGACTGCGGCCCGCGCCCTCGGTGCCGCGGTCGAGCGTTTCACTGTGATTTTCACTTTACCTACCCCTCATTTCCTCATCCCAGCTCGTGCTCTAAAAGTTCCGTGCTCTGAGAAAAAATGGGAGATCGTAATATACGATCCATCGTGCTTGTTC